AGACGGTCACAGATTTTAAGGTTTGCTTGCATTTGATTGGGGGGGGGGTAGTATAAGTATTTTTCTCATGCTACACCCATTTAAAAAGAAGTTTTAGAACCAAGTAGATATAACATCTATTTAAAAAAAAAAATAGCTAGGCATGATGGGTCCTTGAATCCCAGCACAGGGCAGACAGAGATGTATATATATCTCTATAAATTCAAGACCAGACTAGTCTACACAGCAAGTTCCAGGCTGGCCAGAGCTAAACAGTGAGATCTTGTCTCAAAATAACGATGTAGTAAACGAATTAATCAACAAACTGAAGTGTCAATTTGATCAAATCTACTTTCCTATTTAAAATTATGCAGGAATTTTTAAAAAATATTTTGAGATGCAATATCAAAACATCGGAACCTAACATTTACCACCACCTCTTACTTGTACTTGGCTGCAAAAGTTCCATACGCTTTGTCCCTTTGGAAATTACGTCATTGTTTACAGCTTATCCACTTCTCTGGCCTCTCAGGCGACACACCCTCCTTTTAGCTGTGTTAGGGTAGCTCACATTGCTTCCTCTGATGCATATCTCTATCATAACACCTCTCCTCTCTCTTTCTCTGTCTCTCTCTGTCTCTGTCTCATGCACAAACACAGTTTCCTTTTTAATGCTTTACGTATGTGCATGTTTGTTTGTACATCTGTGTGTGTGTGTGTGTGTGTGTGTGTGTGTGTACACAGATGTGGTTGTAGAAGCCAAAGAACCACCTCCAGTGTCATCTTCAGGAACATAATCCAGCTTCACTGAAACAGGATCTCATTGGCCTGGAGCTCACCAGTTAGGCCAGACTGGCCTCGGGTATCTTCCTGTGTCTTTCTTCCGAATACTGGAATTAAAAACACATGTCACCATATCCAGCTTTGCATGTGTGCAATGGGGATCAAACTGTGGTCCCTCTTCATGCCTTCAGGGTAAGCACTTTACCAACTGAGCTATCTTCACAGGTTCTTTAGTCACATATTTTCTCCTTATCGGTATCTTAAGCTCCTTATGAACCCAAAACAAACTTTACATTTCAAAACCTCCAGCACACCACATGGCACAAGATCCACAGTCAACATGCAAATGATCTTCACTGACTGAATAAGACCATGAATGTGAGTAAGTTACTATTTGAATTACTCATAAGTAAAATTATAAAAGTCCATTCTTTGTAAGACAATCCTAACTATGAGCTACATGTTATAGTGAAGAAACACACACACACACACACACACACACACACACACGCACACACATCTAGAGAAGACAAGGTCTTGCTATGAAAATAAGCTTCATGTCCTTCAGCTCAAGTCCACAGCCTAAAGGAAGCTGTGCCTGCACACTGTACCCAATGGACTTCTCTACAATTACTAATTATTTCTCAAACTCTTCGCCCTCAAGGTGAATGCCAACAATGGTAACACCATCACAGCTTGCACTGTTGACTCTTGGCCTAGTTTATTTTCCCTCTTTGATTAACCAACGGAGACAGTGAGCACTGAATAAGCCAAGTTTCCATTCTGGATACAGATAAAAATAGCTCTAGACTGCTCTAAGTAGATCATAATTTCTAACTTATACCAATCAAGGTTTCTGCCTACAAAATGTCCATTCTAGTGCAATTCCACACATCCAGATATTTCACTCTTCAGGACTGTGGGACAAATTAAACGACCATTTTAGTTATGTCTTCCTGGAAAGAACAGAGTCCAAAACTCCATTCTTCTCTGTATTTAAAGGCGAGTTTAAAGCCTCCGCTACACCACAGCTTCTGCCAGCCTGCTCAAGACAGACCCAGAGGGGCTGGCGACACAGCTCAGAGTGTGAGGCCACTTACTGCACAAGCCTGGCAACCTGAACCCATAAAAAGGTAGACAGAGAAAACTGACTCCTTAATGTTGTTCTCTGACCTTCATGGAAGCACATACATAAACACAAAAAACACACACACATACACATAACACGTATTTTTTTTTAAAGACTGAAGCATAAGATAGACAAGAATCACTCCATTGTCATAGAAGGACTATGTGAGCAACTGCCAGCTTTTGCCTACCAAGCATCTACTCCTTCATATGCAGAAGTATCTGAAGACTTCTTTGAAAAAAAAAAAAAAATCACTTCTCAAAACCTCACTAAACATGTTTGACCCAAGATGGGTGAATCAGCTACAGGTCCTGTGACAAAGGCCTGTATTCAGCAACCACAATGACCCACAACAGGCATGTTTTAAGTCTCCAATGAATGAATTAATTAGCAAGCTGCTCTCCAAACAGCAAGCTTGGAGAGCATCAGATAAGATATACTAACCAGAAGAAATTTAGTGGGGAAGTCCTAAGCAGCAAAGAGTCAGCTGGAACCTCTGATCCACAAAACTGGTCCAAAGCAGAAAGTCTTCTGGGTGAGACTTCCCAGTAGTAATTCCCACCACAGGCTTTGGTGTATCTTGGAATAAATAGTAGCAGAGTCTCCATACTGGGAAGGTATCTCTCAGTAGTGTTCAAGGATACAATGTTTTATCCATTCTGGGATAACAGGAACTTGAAGGACACTCTTAAGACAAACATTCTTGGGTCTAATGTGGGGGAGCCAACTTTAGCTCATAGCTTACTTCTCAGTGAGTTTAACACTTTATTAATACAATGTATATATTACAGCCTGGCCAATCTTGGAATTCTTCTGACCACAAAGATTCAACTAGAAACAAGATCATGGCTCAAAGTTCACCTGGGAACTTTTCCTGGAGCCATCAAGAAGAAAGTCCTCCTCTTCCAACTTGTTTAGGAGACAGGGTGTTATGGAGAAACAAAGACAAATTAAAGTAAAAAGACCTAAGGGACAACCAACGATGCTGCCTGATGTCCAGGGTCCAACTATGTCTACAGCTATGTGCATTCTCAAACTTCCCAAGTACAGAGAATCCATAAATCTCTCCTCCTTCACTTTAAGCTATCATGATTCCATATTCTACTGTATGAATTTTGTTTTATGCACAAAAATGAAATAAATCCATTCATGACTCTTTTGTAAGGCTCTTTTTCCATGTCCTTCTTTTTACTCCTTAAACTTGACATAAAAGGGTCAGGCAAAAGAAATCCATACGCCAACAACTATGTTAGCTACACAGGACTTTAGCCACATTGCACACAGACACTCCTCATTGGTGGAAAAGCAGCCAAATTTCTTCCAGCAATGAGATTTGATTCACGAAGCTTCAGTTGTCTCATCTATGAACTAGAAGATAATGCGCTGCACAGGATTCTTGGGCGGTGAATACAGTAGAAGTATACGTGTACAAGTGCTTCTTTGAAAAGTTCCTGATAGCTTTAACCCATGAAATAGCTTCTCAATATTGTAGCTACCAAAAAAGACAAAACATCACTCAACGGATATTACAAACGCCTAAAATAGGATAGTCAGTGGAGGGAGGAAGTCCATCAAGAATAAAACAGACTTAAAATTGTTTCCATCGTCAAGTAGGTAGCAGGAAAATAATACTACAGTGAGTAAAACAGACAAGTTGCCATTGGGCAACAGCTCCCCCACCCCAAATACTATGGATATTTATAGAATAGGAACAAGTAGTCATAAATCTAACTGCCACCATCACCACAGCTTAGTTGGAAAGTGAAGTCTGAAGAAAAGCATTTTTAGTCGTTTCTATGCCAACTACCATGGGTCCCTCACCAAGTCCTGAACATTAGTGCCAATTAACATAGAGGGGGGAAAAGTGCAATGAGAAACAAGAATAGATTGTACAGGAATACAAAAAAAAAAAAAAGTGTTACACAGAGGACCCGGGGTGAATTCCCTAAACTTTATTCCACAAATGTAAACACAGATAAAGTACCTGGCAGATGGAATGAAGAACCATTTCTTTATTCACTGTTTTCATCTGTACATGCTAACATCTTACACAACCAGGCACTATGCAAAATATGTAAATAAAAACAATAAAGCAAGTACGCTTGGCTTGATCCTTCCTTGTGATCGAAGTGCTAAGCACAACAGAATAAATACAAATGTCGGTCAAGCAGATGCCATTGAAAGAGACTGCAGGTGAGTTTAAGACAGTGTTGGAGACTCATTCTCCACAGATACTAAAACAAGAATGTAAACCCGAATTCGTCAGACTTTAAATTCTTAGCTCTTCACCAGGAGGGCCGGGTGGAGGAAGAGGGAAGTGGGCAAGGAGCGGTAAGAAAAACTGGACAACAGTCTTCAAGCTAAACTCTCTCTAAGTCTCAGTGATAAACTCAGCCACAAATCCCGGCCCACCTCCCGATGGGGAGGAGCAGGAAAAGGGACTTCTGTCAAATGGGATCTGCAGCTGAGCGATTTGGGGTGTGGTTAGACCCTTCCCAGGACTTCCTAAACACCCCGAGCCTGGCCCATCCCGTCCTCACGCCGGAGTCCGGCAGCACCCACATGGCCCAGGAAGGGAAGGCGCACCTTGGTGAGCGCGAGCGGTCGCGGGCTCGGGTCCACGCCCGGGGCGTTCGCCTCCAGGGAGTAGCGCTGCGCGGCCGCCGAGCTGCCCTGGGCCCCGGGCCGCTGGGGCGTTCCGCAGCCGCACGAGCCCGCGAGGGACGCTGCGCCTTCCCCGGCCACGGCCTCTTCGCTCCCGGCCGCCCCCCACGCCAGCACCAGCAACAAGAAGACGTGAGCCGGCCGGGTACTGCAGCCGAGAGCTGGCCCTCGCGCGGGCGCAGCCATGTTGTTCCGCGAGTCATGTGACCCGGACGGTCACGTGATCTGCCTCGCCTCAAGCACTGCCTTTGGCTAATTTAAGGAATAGGCTGGCAAAGCTTCCAAATAGTCTGGGGCTCTCCTGCTGATGCTGAAAGTATGCAAAACACAACAAACCTCTTAGATAATCAAGGCCTTCGGCAGACAAAATGCCCCTCTCTGGTTTCGTAGTTGAAAAATATTCATATTTATTCATCATTTGCTAACCACCACCATTACACTAAATTAAAACGTCATTTAAAAAAAAAAATATTTAGCTGGGCGGTGGTGGTCCATGCCTTTACTCGCAGCAACTCAGGAGGCAGAAGCAGGCAGATCTCTGTGAGGTCTAGGCCAGCCTGATGTACAGAGTGAGTTCTAGGACAGACAGGGTTACGCAGAGAAACCTTGTCTCAAATAAAGAAAGAAAGAAAAGTAGAAAGAAAGAAAGATAAAATAATAATGAAAAAGTATTTAACCTGGAGTAGTGGCACACACCTTTAATCCCAGCATTGGGCGGAGGACGGGGGAGTAGAGGCAGTTGGATCTCTGTGAGTTCGAGGCCAGTCTGTTCTACAGAGTAAGTTCCAGCACAGCCAGAGCTACACAGAGAAACGCTTTCTCAAAAACAAACAAATTGGTCGGGAGAGATGCCTCAGAGGTTAAGAACACTAGCTGTTCTTCCAAAGGTTCTGAGTTCAATTCCCAGAAACCACGTGGTGGCTCATAACCATCTATGATGAAATCTGGTGCCCTCTTCTGGCCTGCAGGCACACATGTCGGCAGAACACTGTATAAATAATAAATAAATCTTTAAAAAAATTATTTAACCCTCACAATGATGCTCCTATATTGGGTTGACAGAACAATTAAGTGACCTGCTCAAATCACATAGCAAACATGTCAAAACCAAAATCTAACTCCAAAGACTCTAACCAGCAAATCTAACATGAATTTTAATTATAAACAATTCAGTACATGGACTCAAAAGCAGAAAATGAACATGGTGAAAGACGGTACACCAGTGAGCAGAGTTAGGGAAATCTAGACTCTGGGAATTTGTAGAATAACACTTGACAAAGTTTGGACCACACCAACAGCAAGAGCATAAACCTGATAACGTACTAGAAATGCTAGCACATGGGCTGGAGAAATGGCTCAGCGGTTAAGGGAACTGTCTGCCTCTTCCAGATAGACCTGGGTTCAGGTCCTAGTACCCACAAAGCAGCTCACTACTGTCTGTCTGTAACTTCAAGATCTGACACCCTCACCCAGCTATGCATTCAGGCAAAACACCAACACATAAAATAAAAATAAATAACTTATTTTTTTTAATAAAAGAAATGCAACACTTTAGCAGAATCTATGGAAAGAGCACACAGCAGTTCTAAGAAGGGGTGATATTCGGGCGTGTGCCAAGGACAGAAGAAGACATCAGATGTCCTGCTCTATCACTCTCTACTTTTAAGACATTGTGTTTCACTGAACTTGATGTTAACTCAAAGCCAGGAAACCGAGGCCATCCTCCAGTCTCTACCTCTTCTCAAAGTGCTGAGGTTTCAGGCTTACGCAGGGGTCAGGTTACATCAGGCCAGGGATTCAAACTGGTGTCCTGATGTTTGCATACCAAACATTCTTACTCACTGAGACATTCACTGCCCAGCCTCATCAACCCCTGCATGCCACTCCTCTTTTTAGCTGCTTAAAGACACTATGCTCAGATGTAGTCCATGGCAGCTCAGTCTTCATGGGTCCCAAGTTAGGGGAGCAGGGGCTGTCTCTATCGTGAACTTGGTTGCCTGCTCTTTGATCACTTGCCCCTGGTAATGACACCTTGCCAGGCCACAGAGGAAGAAGATCCAGGCACTCCTGAAGAGACCTGATAAGCTATGGGCAGATGGCAGGGGAGGAGAACTCCCCCTTTTGATGGAATAGAGGAAAGGGGATAGAGGGAGGAAAGAAAGGGAGAGAGGGACTGGAAGGAGCTGAGGGAGGGGGCTTCAATTGGGATATAAAAGGAATAAATAGAAATAAATAAATAATAAAGCAAAAAAAACCTCACTTTGTATGTGTTAACTAACCTGGAACTTACTGTGTAGACAAGCTGGACTCAAAACTTCTGAAATCCTCCTTCCTTTGCCTCCCAAGTGTTGGATGAAAGGAGTGCACCACTCACCATGCCCAGATGAACCTTGTGTTTTTACAAGTTCTTCTAATATCCTAATGCATTTTGAAGATATTATGGGGTGTTGTTATTTGTTTGTTTTCATTTTGACAGAGTTGTGCTACATAGTCCAGGTTGGCTTTGAACTCCTGATCCAGCTACCTCAGCCTACAGAGAGTTGGTATCACATATCTATGCAACCATACCTGGCTCATTCTAAAATTTAGTAGTGACTGTTCCACAGATCCATCCCAAATAGACTGTAAGACAAAAACAAAAGTAAGATGAAAGGGGGCATCTACAGATCAGAACAGACACGGCAATGGTCCAATGTAGTGGTGTCTTAGAGTTTCTATTGTCCTGATGAAACACCATGACCAAAAAAGCAAGTTGGGGAGGAAAGAGTTTATTTGGCTTGCATGTCCTCATTGCTGTTCATCCCTGAAGGAAGTCAGGGCAGAAACTTAAACAGGGAATCATCCTGGAGGCAATTGTAATGCAGAAGCCATGGAGGGGTGCTGTTTGCTGGCATGCTCCTCATGGTTTTCTCAGCCTGCTTTCTTATAGAACCCAGGACTGCTGGTCCAGGAGTGGCACCACCCACATGGGACTGGACCCTCCCCTATTAATTGCTAACTGAAAAGATATCTGAAAGTTGGATCTCTTGGAGGCATTTTCTCAAGGGAGGCTTCTTCCTCTCTGATGATTCTATCTTGTACCAAGTTGACACAAAACCAGCCAGTACAGTTGGTAGCTGTTCTTAATATTAGATATTCTGCAGGTTGATGTCAGAGGATCAGTGATGCCCAGGAGTTTGGGACCAACCTCAATGCTATGTCAAAAGAAAAAAAGAAGAAGATACAGTAACATACTAATTAAATCTAATACATGAGCCTTATGTAAACAACAATGAGACATTTTAAATTATCTTTATGTATTTATGTGTATATGTATGTATTTATGTGAATATGGGTGCTTTTCCTGCATGTATGTCTGGGCACCATGTGTGGGCAGGGACTGTGGAAGCCAAAAGAAGGAAGTAGATACCCCGAAACTGGGTTTTCAGATGGTTGTAAGCCACCATATGAATGTTGGAATCAAACTTGAAACTTCTAGAAGAATAGCAAGTGCTCTTTACCACTGAGACATTCCCCCCAGACCCTGATTTCATTTTGTTTTTTGTTTTTTTTTTTAAGAATTTATTTGAGGGCTAGAGAGATGGTAAGACCACTCTCTGCTCTTCCAAAGTACCCAGATTCAGTTTTCTGCATCCACACGGCAGGATACAACCATTCATAACTCCAGTTCCAAAGGATCCAGTGCCCTTGAGGGTACCAGGCATGCCTGCAGTGTACTTTACACTGATGCCGACAAAACTCTCACAATAGAAAATAAGACTTCCAAAAAAATTTTAATTCCTTTGCTGATTAATACACATAGGAGAACTCCGTGTGTGCTCGCTGCTAAGTATTTGCTCCCTTAACCCAAAAAAAGCAGGAACACATGACACATAAGAATGAGTTGATAATTGTGGTAACTAGTTGATGAGTATGTGAGCACTTACTGAACCATTCTAACATATTTTTTTTAATTTTTAACATAAAGACCTTTTCTTCTTACAGAAGCTAGGGGAAGGCTTTCATGCGTTTTCTCTTTTGATTTAACAAACAGATGGCAAGAAACCTATCACTGTTACCATTTTTTTTTTAAATTGGTGAAACTAAAAGGTCACTGCACAAACCAAAGCTGTTTGTGGACACTCTACACAGTATATAGTCCAGGTTAAGGATAATTTTTGGGTTTCTTTCCCCCTTTCAAAAGGTCAGTGCTGGTGTGTGTTTGTGACTCAAAGTCCTCAAACCCTTTTGGTTTATGGTCAGGCTTCTATTGCTGTGATTAAATGATATGATCATCTTGAGGAGAAAGGGGCTTATTTCAGATTACATTTCAGCATCACAGTCCATTTCTGAAGGAACTCAAAAAGGGCTGGAGCCTGGAGACAGGAACTGACACAGAGGCCATCACAGAGTGCTGCCTACTGGCTTGCTTGCTCATGGTCTGTTCAGCTGGCTTTCTCATAATATCCAGGACCACCTGTCCAGGGAGAGCACTGCTTTAAGTGAGCTTGGCCCTCCTTCATCAATCATTAATAAAAAATACCCTACAGACTTGCCTTCGTGTCAATCCTATGGAGGCATTTTCTCCAGTAAAATTCCTTCTTCACTGATCATGCTAGCTTGTATCAAACTGATAGAAAAATTAACCGCTGTAATGGTCATACCATACCATTAAGCTGTAAACTCTATGAAGGTTAAGAGTTTTTGTTTACTGCTTGTATCAGGAAAAAAAAAAAAAAAAAAAAAAAAGGCCTGGCACATGATAAGCACTCAGAGTGAACTTTTAATGAGTTAATGGATATATGAATAAAACAATTCCTATTGTAATAAACTATTGTAATAAACAATAAACTATTCCCTCAGTCTCTAAAGGAGAAGCAAACTGTTGAGAAAGTAATACATATTTTAGCTTAATAATGGTTGTGCTTTTGTGTTTAAGAGATGGCTGTTTACAATGGATGTAAGCTAAGCAATTACAGTATTCACAGAACATGATGGAAATGAGGTTGGAAAATGTAAGAGCCTGAGAAGGGGGGGGGGATGCTCTGTGAAGAGAGAGCAGCTGTGGTTACCTGTACAATATTGAGACCCTTAACATTCTCTCATCAGTGGAAGAGGGGTTCATAAGGCTCTACCCATCTGTGAGATGCTATTGGCAGTTAAGAGTTGCTGGAGAGTAATGTCTTATGTGATGTAACCACAAGTATG